TGTTTAGTTTTTTTCTTTTCGTGCTGGTGGAGCACGATTTGTGCTAAACTTCTTGAGGTTGGGATGGCGTCTCTTGGTCATTTATCAGCTCTTGACAGGAAGGGACCATTTAGCCATTTCCTGATTAGAGGGAACAAGGCATCTCCTCCTACTTGACTGGTCATATAGGGTCCTGAAACTGTCTAAAAAAAAAAAAAAACATATTTAAGCTTTTTTCTTGTACCTATAAAATTTCTTTATAAAATACATAAATAAAGATTTTCCTGACCAAACAAGAATCCGACTATGACCATAGTGTAAAGTTATACTTATCATATTTAATGAGCACCTCTTAAGACTTAACATACGATCTAAAACATCATCAGATCAAGTCCTAAAAGGAGACAAAGAGAATCTTATATTTGGTCATTTATTTATTGAGGAAAATGGTCCAATATTACATATCTCTGAGTGGCAAAAGTCTGTGAACCTCTAGGATTAGCAACTAATTTGAAGGTGAAATTAGAGTCGGGTGTTTTCAATCAATGGGATTACATGATCAATGATCAGGTGTGAGTGAGTGCCCTGTCAGAGTCTAATCTATCAGAATCTGATCTTCACAACAGATGTTTGTGTCATATGGGCAAGTCACAAGGCTAATGGAAATATTTTTGTGGATGGATGAGACCAAAATAGACCTTTTTGGTTTAAATGAGAAGTGTTATGTTTGGAGAAAGGAAAACAGTGCATTCCAGCATAAGAACCTTATCCCATCTGTGAAACATGGTGGTGGGACTATCATGGTTTGGGACTGTTTTGCTTTATCTGCACAAGGACAACTTGTTCCATCATTGATGGAACAATGAATTCTGAATTATACCAGCGATTTCTAAAGGAAAACATCAGGACATCTGTCTGTGAAGATTAAGTGGGTCTACACAAGTTGTTCTACCAAAGAATGGTTCAAGAAGACTAAAGTTAATATTTTGGAGTGGCCAAGCTAAAGTCCTTACCTTTATCCAATAGAAATCTTGTGGAAGGACCTGAAGCAAGCAGTTCATGTGAGGAAAACCACCAACATCCCAGAGTTGAAGCTGTTCTGTACTGAGGAATGGGATTAAATTGATGTGGAGGACTGATCAACAGTTACTGGAAATGTTTAGTTGCAGTTATTGCTGCACAAGAGGGTCACATCAAATACTGGAAGCACACAACTTTGCTTTCAAAAGATATGAAACATTTGGGTTATTGTCCTCAATAAATTAGTGACCGAGTATAATATTTGTCTCTCCTTTGTTTAATAGGGTTCTCTTTGTCTATCTACTTTTAGGACTTAAATTAAAAGCACCACTGTATAATCAATAATTACAGTAAATCCATCCAAATGATATTTTGTTCATTGAAGTGCGGATTGGAATGGTCAATGAGTTCCCTAACGCAGCACTGATTTTTGTTAATGGATATACGTGCGCAGTCTCTTTCATACTCGGAGAAAACAAATGAATGGATCGCATGAGTGGAAAATAAACGAGAGAGGAAAAAAAGTACAAGAATGAATAAAAACATTCAAATGGATTAAGTGCATCTGAAACCGAAGCGCGCATTGGCTTAGAGTTCGGTTCTCACAAGTCTTCTTTTTCTGCCTCGCGCCAAATCTTTTTTTATTTTTTTATTAATTTTATTTTCTCTCCGCCGGTTCAGTGCGCATGTGTGTTTACATTGGCTCGCTCAGGAGGACGGGACACACAGTTCTCTGGCACGAGACTGCTCCGCGCTCATTGCTTAAGTTATGACATTGACTGAATTATCTTATGAGGTAAAGAGCACGCTGATATGAATGATAATGTTGCTCGATTGCTCGTGACGACAGGACGAAGATGCGTTTCTGAACTTCAGAAGAACCTGTGTGTGTGCATGTGTGAGATATCAGTCAGTTTGACAGCAAGAACACTGTCTCTGTCCTAGCCCCCTGATTGGCCGTTGAATTTGGTTTGGAAAGGCCGACGCCCCCTCTATCATGGAAAACAAGACGAGTGGGCCATATTATACAATGCACATTCTTTCAGACCTATTGACAAAATGATTGTTGATGCTGCATACATTTTTAAGTGTATTGGAATCCGCTCACTGTTTACAGTACAGTCACATATTCACAAATCCTGACCAACAAATACTCGGGCACAAATGAAGAGAGACGCCTTGTGCTGTCCGGAAAAGAGAAAACACACACACACTTGGTAGTAAAGAATGGAATGTTCTCTTCTACCATCCAGCACATAGAGCAGCTGGGAATGGGAAGAAAGAGAGAGAGGGGGGGACGGAAATCTGAAGACATGCTTCGTGTTTTTCGCAAGTGTGTTTTTGTGGGTCTAAGCATAATTTTTTTTCTTCTAAGGGGCGTGTGTATTGTGTGTATAAATATCTCCTCTCCTGTGCAGCATCAGCGCCTGGTCCGAGTTTATTTATAAACTGCGTCCTACGTGTCAATGGTCCGGCTCTACTCTCTCCCTCTCTACAGTAAAATCTCTCTCTCTCTCTCTCTCTCTCTCTCTCTATCTCTCTCTCTCTCTCTCTTTAACTCAGTTTCCCTCTCCTTCCCTTATTAAATCTATTAAAACTATAAATTTCCTACCAAGCACATCGATGCTCGATGATCATTCCTGGAAATTTCACAGATGCGTACGCCTGCATCTCTGCGTTTCACAGAAAGTTCACTGCGGTGGAAACTTCTTCTCACAAAATGGCCCGTACACATAAAATCTGCTAAATTTCAGGAAGGTGTGTGTCTTTGTATATGTAAGGGTGCTTGGCTTTTTGTTGTTATGATGCATGTGAATTCTACCAGGAGACTAAGAAAGGATTAGTTGCCTCCATGGAATACATGCACACATAAACAGACTGAGCCACACACACAAGTTTTTTCCATCACTGATTATGTCATTAAGTCCCTCTAGAAAAGTAAAAAGGTACACATTTCTTATCGGTGATATCATCTCATCTTCACACCGACTCACTTACTCCCAATCCTTTGATTTATTTGAATCAAGCCTTTTTAAATACTGTCGATTTGAATGAAAAACCATTTCACAAGTAGAGTAAGCGTCGGATAAAGGACGTGCTGTGAAAGAAAGTTAGGAATGCTGTGCCGTGGGTGAGGGCCAAAGTCAGGGCAGTAAAACTGTCCAATCAGCTGAGGATAATCACCGCAGAGGGTGAGGCTCAGCAGTGCTGACTTATTGTGCACTCCGGCCTCGACTCTAGAGCGTTGCCTTTTCGTCTGACCACTGAGAGAGCGGAGGCGTTCGCAAGGCTGTGGTGTATCCCAGTGAGAGAGAAAGAGTCAGCATGGCTTTTTGACCTGACATGATTCAATAGGTGGTTTATTACACCGTGGATATGGTTTGGTGGACAAATCAGCTTCAGCTTAGTAAGCTAGACCACAAAACGAGGCAATAACTTGAGCTTTATGACCTTTAGCTTCGGACGTGGTGTCCAAACGTATTGTTGCAAAAAAAAAAACGAAGGAAAAAAAAAAAACAACAAAAAAACCCTCACCGTTTCAGAGAGTAATGTGTGCATGCATGTGTGAGTGTGTGTAGTGAGTGGCTGCTGACATTGATAGATTGTTACCACATGTTGCTGAAGGACAAAAAGGCCTCTGTGTTCCAGAGAGATTCAGCGTGCAGCTGGGCTCTCAGTTAACAGCCCTACACACGCGAAAAACACACACACAAATAAAAACATAAATAGCTGAACTGTACTGAATAATACAGAATTGCTGAACTGGATAAATACAGAATAGCTTGTAAATTATTTCAACATTAGTTACAAATTGAGGAATTCTAAAGGTATTCCCAAATCGTGTTCCCAGGATTAACTCCCCCATGACCAAGACCAGGATTTAACAAATACATACTAAAGATGAATTAATATTAATACTAAAGAAGAAAATAATAGCATTGCATGTACCGCATGAGTAAGTCAAGAATTGACTAAGAACTTAACTTAAGAAGTCAAGAATCGAATGTGTGCGAGTCTCTAAGCAAACATAATGTGTACTTTTCTTTTTTGGTGTTTACGTACTGTAGGTTATAATACAGTACAATGAACGGCTGTGGATCAGGTGGTAGAGCAGGTTGTCCACTAATCGTAGGGTTGGTGGTTCGATTCCCAGCCCACGTTGACTCCACGTGTCTTTGGGCAAGACACTGAACCCCAAGTTGCTCCTGATCGCAAGTTAGCGCCTTGCGTGTCAGCTCTGCTACCATTGGTGTGTGTGTGAATGGGTGAATGAGACACAGTTTTTAAAGCGCTTTGGATAAAAGCGCTATATAAGTGCAGACCATTTACCATTTATAGATGTGCATGTATGTGTGTATGGTGCTACATTTCCAAGTATAGTGTATGGGTGAATCCAAACACTTGGCTGCTTTGAGCTTGGTGTGTCATTGTTGAAGTGATTTGGAGCAATTCGAAGAAATAGTAAAGCATCCTAATCACTCCCAGGTTTTCTTCTTGGTTTGTTTTTAAAGGATAAAAGCATGAAGCGTCCCTGGCAGTATACAACACAGAGAGAGAGAGAGAGAGAAAGAGAGAGTGACTCTGACTTAATTACTTCATTCACAACATGTTTCTCCATTGAGATTTTAGTCATTACCTCCCCTCAGCTCTGTTCCTCTAGTCACATGTGCGTACATGTACATTCATCCACTCGCGTGCACAAACTTTAAGTCATATCTCTAGAGAGACCGCACTATTTGATTCACCTTGGCGTGTACATGGAATAATAGCATCATCGTCCTGCCAATCTAGGCAGAAGTGTTTTGTTTAAAGTCAAAAGCAACAAAAAGATGGACTAAGATCTGTGAAGGTGAAAAGTGCAGTAGTGTTACAGACGAACTAAAGAATATGATGTTGTTCAGGTTTACAGCATGGATGCAAGGTATAATTACATCCTCTTTCCTTGCTAAAAGATTGCTGTAGAATATGTATGAAATTACTTTCCTTTATCTGGAAATGGGGGAACGGTGGTTTAGTGGTTAGGACGTTTGCCTCGCACCTCCAGGGTTGGGGGTTTGAATCCCGCCTATGCTCTGAGTTTATGGGGGGGGTGTTTTTGTGTTGTAGTTGGGATGGACATTTTGCTGAAACCTGGCAACCCTGGTTAATGATATTAGTTCTACTGTGCATGCCACACATTGGGAAACTCGCCTGCTGTATCGAACACTATAGAACAAAGGTATGTCTAAAACTACTCAAAGCGATCTGTTCAACTGACTCTCAACTGCCTATTATAGGATTACTCAAAAAATTCACTAAACAGTAGCCTATAGTATAAGTCAAATGTGATGGCCTCTAGACTGTATTTTTAATTGAGCCTAGGTTGTTATTAATGTCGACCTGTCCCACCAAAATCTATGGTCATGAGCTGCTGCTCTGAAAATATCTTTTCCATTCCTCCACTACAGTTCCAGAGACTTCCATCGATGCCAAGATGAATTACAGCTGTTCTGGCAGCTCATGGAGGCCCAACACCTTACTAAGACACTTTTTATGCTGGGTGTTTTTATTCATTTGCATTCTTCTCTGCCATTGTTTGAAACTTCTCGTACTCTTGTTTGAGGTTTTTTTGTTTTGTTTTGTTTTTCATTATAGATTGATGGCACAATGGTATCTATTTTGCCAATGCTTTAAATTGACTAACATTCAAAAGTACCTGTGGCTCAGTTGCTGTCTCCTGTGGTGTATTGGACTACTCTGAAGGGGACATTGTTTTGGTCTCTTGTGTGTTACATCATTGGGTTGTATGACTCAGATGGTTCATTCTAACAAAGCTGACTTGCTAACGCCATTGAATGTCTGTGTGTTTATGAGCACATTTTAACGTATGCAAAGACTGATGGCACACTTCAGATAGTAAACAAAGGAGTGCACTACCATTTGTGATAATAGTAGTAAAGTTGTTCAATTAATGCTGATCTCCTCTGTTTCTCTTTCTTGGTACAGAATTCCATCCGGCACAACCTGTCCCTGCACAGCCGTTTTGTCCGTGTCCAGAACGAAGGAACTGGAAAGAGCTCATGGTGGATGATAAATCCCGAAGGCGGGAGGGGAGGCAAGGCACCACGTCGTCGTGCGGTCTCGATGGACAATGGAAACAAGTACACCAAGGGTGCACGAGGACGCGCAGCTAAAAAGAAGGCACAGGCTGCCCAGGAGGGATCGCTAGAGAGTGTGTCTGCTGGTGGTCTGTCCAAGTGGCCAGGTAGTCCAACATCACGCAGCAGTGATGAACTGGATTCCGGCTGGACTGACTTTCGTTCACGAACAAACTCCAATGCTAGCACAATAAGTGGCCGTCTGTCACCCATCCTAGCCAATCCAGAGTTGGATGAGGTTCCAGATGATGAGTTGGGCCCACCCCTCTCCCCAATGCTCTACTCGAGTTCCAGCAGCCTTTCCCCTCCCTCTTCATCCTCCTCAAACTCCAAACAATGCCCAGCTGAGCTTCCACGACTAGGCACAATGAACCTCAATGATGGGCTAACTGACAACCTTATGGATGACATGTTGGACAACATAACAGTTGCACCATCAACACAGGAAGGTCAGGATGGCTCCACCTTCACTTTCGGGAGCACCACTTCCTCTCCAGGCTCCTCCTCTTCCTCACCAAATGGTGCTAGTAGTAGTGGAGGGTTTGGTAATTCCATTTTTTGTCCCTCCACTGGAGCATTACGCCAGACACCCATGCAGACCATACAGGAGAACAAGCAAGCATCTTTCTCAAGCATTTCTCGCTTTGGGAACACCACCCTTCAGGAGCTGCTAAACTCTGACTCGCTAGGCTCCCACAGCCACAGTGATGTCATGATGACACAATCCGACCCACTCATATCACAAACCAGTGCAGCCGTTGCTTCTCAGAATTCCCGTCTTCGCAACGGCCTCATGCATCCCAAAGACCCAATGATGTCATCGTTCAGTTCTGGGTTTAAAGGTCAGAGCAGCCTTCTCCAGAACAACCGACATCATCAGGGCTCCAATGCCCAGGGATCACTGCACTCACTCCCCAAAAATGGTCACCCAAGCCTGGCCAATGACATTAATAATGTAGTATCTGCCAAGCAGCATCTCCAGCAGCACTCCACTATGTTGCTGAGTGAGGCTTCTGTTTACTCTGGGTTAAATGGCAGTAATGGAATGGGGATTTCGGGAACCGAACGCTTTCCGACAGACTTGGATTTGGACATATTCAACGGGAGTCTTGACTGTGACGTGGATTCCATAATCCGCTCAGACCTAATGGACGCTGATGGTCTAGACTTTAACTTTGATGCTTTGGTGCAAAACGGCGTCAGCCTGAACTCTGTTGGCAGCTTCAATGGGACAGCACAGTCCAGTCAAAACTGGGTTCCTGGCTGAAAGTGATTCCAAAGGTCAGTAAAACTGCATCATTTAGTTTGGTTCATTTCAAAATTTAAAATGGTCTAAAATGTGGGTTCTGTATGTATTGTTTCAAATCCAAATTACAGGAACAACAATGTGTATTTCATTATTAATGTTATTGGAAAATGTGCAGTGTATTCAATCTTGTTTCAGAGTGCAGAACACATCTTTCATCTCAGAATTAACTTGACGAAATATTATGAAATTAGATGTCCAATAGTATGTGGACACCTGACCATCACACCCAGATGTGGTTCTTCCCAAAGCTGGAGTCACACAATTGTCTAGAATGCCTTCGTATGCTGTGGAACTAAGAGGCCCAAACCTGTTCCAGCATGACAATGCCCCAGTGCACAAAGTGAGATCCATGAAGGCATGGTTAGCCAAAGTTGGTGTAAAAGAACTTTAGAGTCCTGATCTCAACCCCACTGAACACCTCTAGGATGCCTTTAGATCCTGACCTAACCTCTTGTAGCTGAACAAACATAAATCTCCACAGCCACACTCCCAAATATAATGAAATGCCTTCTCAGAAGAGCGGAGGCTGTTATAGCAGTTCATATTAATGCCCACGGTTTTGGAGTGTGGTGTCCACATACTTTTGGCCATATAGTGTATGTTCCAACAGATGGCAAAGTAATTTCAATGTAACAAATCTGTATAATAGCACTCCATATGACAGTCCTCCCACCAAAAGAGAGCAACTAAGTGACCTCGTAGAGTCAAGCACTAGTGGGAAGTGACCAACTGAGGCGGTGCAGTATGTGACTAACTGATTTCTCTCACTCTATTTCTTATTCAGGCTCAAAAGTGCATTGTAAAAACAAAAACAAAAAAAACACAGACAAATTTCCATCCATCACAGACTCATGCCATCCATCGCCAAGACTGCCGCCAGCACCAAGCACTGGAACCTATGCCTGTTTACCGTCTACAGCTCTGGAGAATCTTATCTTCAATGCAGGAAACACACCATCCTGAATGAATGACTGAACACAGGACCCACACAAGACAGAGTCCCAACCAGCTACCTTCTAGACAAACAAGAAAATTCCAATTAAATGTTTTTTTGTTTTGTTTTGTTTTGTTTTTGTTTTTTTAAATCATGACTCAAAACAATGCCTAGTTCCAAAATCAAGTGTTTTGGACAGATACATGTACTAGAAAAGAGAACCTATTTGAAACGTTTCAGGGTGTTTAAAAACATTCTCATGGGCTGTGGAAAAGATTTCCTACGACTTCCTTATGGTTTATTGTCAAATGTCATCTTCAAGCACTTACACTTTAACCCTTAATCAAAATGAGAATTAAAATTTAAGAGGACAAAGGTCCCATGAGTCGATATACCCCTTGCAAATTTCAAAAGTAACACTCGGATTGAGTTATGCTTTGACTTGGTGCACTTTGGATTCTGCCTACAGTTTCAGTTTCGGTAACAGCATAATCAGTTTCTAATTTGAAGTAGTAGCCTAATATCAGAACTGATTGTAGTGCAATATAATAAGAGAAATGACTTACTGTTTGTTTGTACTGTATGTAACTATTTTGGAAAAAAAAACAACAAAAAAATAAGAAAGAAAAAGCAAGGCGTTCGAGCTCATCTGTAAATGCTTCGAAGTGAGAGCTTAGCTGTTGGAAGAACACTCTTTAGCTGATAGTAATGCAATGTCCGGGCTATGGCATATCCGAGTAGCCAAATTAACGAATGTTCGTGCGTTGCGAACATTCCCATGCCATACTGGGTGCTGAATAATCAGTGTTGCTTTATTGAGGCCGTGTGGGTTCCCAGGGCTTGAAGGACGGAGCATAAACATATTACCATAGCTTATGGCAGCATTCAGTGGTGGGTAGGCTTTCCCTGTGGAATCCATCTTTACTGAGTAAAAACAATAAGCTATCATTTGTATATTTGCCAAATTACTTGAACATGTTGGAGATGCTGGTAGCCAAAATCAAGAGGAGAAAAAAAACAACAACAGATAGTTGAATTTAGAGACATCCCGTCTCTATATGCAAACTACACCACCGTGGCTCAGGGTTGAAAGGGGTTACCATAAAAACATTCAGGTCCCCCGTTTATTCTAACTGCATCCTGGTTGTATACAATTTCTTGACAGTAAGAAATGTTAAGGGAATGTGTGCATTTCTACCTAAGCAACAAACTTCTAAAAACAGGAAGCAACAAAAGAATTTGTTGTTGCTTCTTTTGGGGGTGGGGCTGTTTGTGTCTACTTTGAGATTTTGTTTTGGAAAGCTCAGCTTTTATTACAATTGTATAAATTGACGAAAATTCCCCAGTGTTCTGTGTTGTCTCTCATCACTATGCATGTATGTAACTGTGCATATGCATTGTGTAAAATATGTAAAACATCCTGCTTAAAGTCAAGTAATGTTGTGATGGCACAGTACCAGTTCTTTTTTCAAATATGAAGTATTGAAAAGGGTTTGTTGGGGGGAGGGGCACGTATTTCTCAGAGGGGTTCGGACCACTCATGGGGAAGGGGTGGGGGGAGTTAAGTCGAGATTATAAAATACCCCAAAATGTCAGAATAGCCTCCAAGTACACAAACTAAAGGTGATGTGTAGGTGTTGTGAAAATGAAAAATCGTGTATTTAGTCTTCTTCATATACAGAACCTAATCCAT